ATCTTAGTAAAGTTCTCCAATGAAGCTCTAGCGAATTATATTTCGTAATTATATTATGTTGTGTGTATCCTGTTGTGATTTTGTTTCTGTTGCCATCTGGCAACCACACATGCTTGACATGTAATACATAAATAAATAAATAAATTAGGGTGAATACCTACTCACAAAAGTAATTGGCATACCTCAAAACTCCAAGAGCCTAAGAGCATGTTCGCCTTTTGCTTCTCCCAGAAAGTGTCCGGTTTGATTATCAGCACCATGATAATGAGCCCATTAGTTGTCTCACAGAGATGCTACAACAGAGAGCTAAACTAAGCAAATCAAAAACGAGGAATACGCCAACTGCTTACATTAATGGACTTCAGAATAGGTCGAACATTATTTGAAGCGTGTTTCCCACGCATATCTATGATCACAGTGAATCCGAGCTCCTTAGTGTCATCACTTAAATGGCAAATATAATGTTGGAAAACGAAGAACAAATCAGAATAAATAAGCCAACACAAAAGTAAAATAAATAAATAAATAAATAGGAAGACCAAATCAAAAAAACTAACGCAGTCACGGTATGCAAGTATCGGAGGATGTTTCTAATGTTGTCCGAATTTAGTTGGTGTTCCTTCGGAGGAAAAACTATGATTGCACGACCCGTACGATCACGAGAGCCAGGCAACAGTGCAACACCATCGCGAAGAACATGAGCAATATCTTCGGCTTTCAGAATGACCTGAAACATATTCAGGAAGTGTAGGTCATGCCGTTATTCATAAAGTTTCCTTTGATGAAATATTGCAGCAAAAAGCCCTTGCGTTCATAGAAGCATCACAAAATTGCTACCCGGCTTATCTGCATCGGAGAAAACACTGTTCACAAACCAGTGTTAGACAAATGGTAGGTATGTAAATCGGAAATAAAAAAAAGAAACTTGATGAAAGCAAAGGTATTAGTCATCTCTCCCGACAGTTGTTTCAACATTTGTTAACAAGAATGTTCCATAGGGAGGACTCGAAAGAAAGGAAGGAAAATCAGAGAAAAAACGAAGAAACGAACCTCACAATCATTCATTTCGGGTTCCTAATAATATACAGCATTCAATAAAAACATTGCAAAATGGCAGTGAAAAGTGGCAGTTCTGAAAATATCTTGAAAGGACCCTGAAACAAAGATTGTTGAGTACTTCCTCATCAGTTTATTCTTTGTACATATCACGAAGACACTTTGAAAAAGATGTAAAATCAGCTGTTATGACATGACTGACTGGACTATGCTCCGAATATTCGCATTTCTACCACCTCACGTGCAAATATTCCAACAAGCAGCATATTACATAGTGACTGAGTAAATGTTCCCAAATTATCAAAGTCCTTTTTCGAACTTCAAAACTTCGTTTTCAGATCTCTCAGAAGATAAGAAAAAACAATTTTCATCTACTTCACAAAAGTCTCAAATGTTCACGAAATTCAAGGTAATGAGCCTTCTGTTGGAATCGAAAACCTAACAGAAGATTGCCTCGCTCTTCTAACTCGCATAACCCATTTTGGGCCAGTTTTTCATTCTAACCTTACTGAGCATTTCTTCAGCGAATGCTCGAGCAATTTACCAAATAACTCTTCTGCTTGAAGGCACATCTATGCATGGCAGTCAAAGCGTTGGCATAAAAAGGTAGACAGGTAAATAGAAAAAGTGGGCTGAAGGGTTGTACAAGGGAGGAGATTCCTGTTCTGGATGCTTTCGGAAAAGCCACATAATTCTGCAGACAATCGATATTCGTCACAGCATTCGTCATGGGTCTTGGAAACACGAAAACCCATTGGTAAAAAAGCCAAGTATTCAAAAAAAAGAGTAAAGATGGGCACAAATTGTACTTAGACAAAAAATACAGGGATCGCATAAGGGCTAAGGTCAAAAGACGAAAGAGCATCGAAACGAGTTCAGCGGAAGTGCTAGGGTGTACTTCAGCTGCTCATTTTTAACAGAGAAGAAACTCTACGAAAATGAAAATAGTAAAGCGAGAAGGCTAAGTAATTTGTTTAAAAAAATGTGAAGAGCAAAGTCGTGGCAAGACTAAAATAGTTTAGGAAAGCAATGAAATAAACTATAAGAAATCAGAATTTTAGTAAGTTATGACTCAGAAAAAGCCCTAAAATCGAGCCAACACAGATTGGCGCTCTCGGAAGGCGCTCTTCTCACACTCATGACCGATTGTGCGTCGCGGGGGTGAGCGGGTGGGAGGCCGACTGGACGGCTGGCTGGCTGACGGCCGGTGGCCGAACCTCCCGGGAGACTGGCAGATGGTCCCTCAGCCCCTGATCCGACTTTCATGCTTAGCCCGACCTGCTTCCATATGGCAATCTGGTTTTGCTTGATTCTTAATCATATCCATCAGTCTTTATCCGCTTCTGTTTGCACTACAATGCCCTCGTTTTATGAGGATTCTTCAAGGTTTACTTATTACTTCTATACATGGTCAAAAGGACAAAGGATTTATTGCAAATAAGTCGCACATGAGCTAAGTACAAATAGATGGGAATCCAATAACGGAAACCTGAGATGTCATTGGGAAAATGGAGAAGCGGTAGAGCCCTTTATCTCCCTGTCACTTCAGCTTCGCAGTGCTTAAGCATGCATTGTGTATTGGATCAATTAAGCCTACAACACTACAGAACTAGTCTAACCTGATGACATTGGCTATGTTAGCATATGAAAATACGACATGCATCTCGGGACTCTGATAGAGCAGGAAACACTTAGAATTTTAGGAAGATGTCAAAAAGGAGCCCCTTCCCCCTCTCCCCAAGGGTTGGGTAATGATAGTAAAAGAACAGAATCTAACTCGGAACTAAATCCCCACCGTTACCTCAACTTTCATACAACCGCTAGCATGACTCTAAGCAGGTATTACTTGCCTATGGTATATCGAAGTAAAAGCTCACGAGTTGAGTAGCGTGAAGTAGTAGTTCCGACCATTCGGACCCAATGGCAGGCCCTTAGACTGTTGTTTCCCTAATACTCCATGCACTAAATGAGATCGATGGGCCCATAACTGACGACAAATCGCACTCATTAGCTTCATATCTAATTCCATTATAGGAACGTTAGTAGGCGTAGGAAACATGATCGGGTGGATTTGAACTAGCCGAAAATGAGCGCGGGCGGGTCGATTGTACGCAATTACGTCGCAAACAAAACATGTTTCGGAGAAATAGGCGTCGAAATATTTGTAATGACGAAGCTCATTCTTTTAAAACCTACTTAGTTGATAGCAGGTTTTGAAGTGTATCTCGGTTTTCAGTTCTGCGACTACTCATTAATTTTATCGTCTCTGCACTCATAAATTGATTCTCCTATCTTTGATTCCTTTCTTTTTCTTCACTTAATAGTTTCAAAACTATTCATCATTGCAGAGTTCAAGAGCGATTTTTGGGAAGTAATTTAGACCAGATTATTGTACACTAGTGTTGGATTTAGTGTGGGATCTCTCAGGTGATGAGTTTTAGAATCTTTCCAAAGTGTAATAAGAAAAATTGATCGATCAAGTTTTCTTATATCATCCCATTAGTGAGATAGTGCCCGATCATGTTCTCAACGAGCGTTGCAAAGTACATTGCAAAGTACGAATTCTCTGATGTGTTTACTTTTTAAGGTAAGACCTACGCTCTATTTCAAGTGGCTCACGTTTCATAGTCGATACCCTAGAAAGGTGTAGGTGCAATATTTGCTTTCGATGAGATGATTCACCTTATCTTTCGTACTGCTACCACTGAATACGATTCCTATGGAAATGGAAAATGTATGGGAGATTCCTTTAGGTGAAGAGGTAGTACGGTAGATGGGTGTACAAGCATCCTATGGCATTTTGAAGTCTGCAGGTAAAGGGAATTGCTGTTGATTGTTGGTTGTCACCGATCCCTCTAGATGATCAACCATGCAAAAATTGATTGTGTCAGATTTTGATGAATCGCGCAATTATTACGATGTCCATCAAAAGTGGAACGGTGAAGGAATGATTGTTGTATTGTCCACGAGTATATCATTGTTTATTTGTTCAAAAAGTGGCGGACCAGATGAACTAACTCGCAAGAAAACTTATAAATGACCAGTGCACTGGATCAGAAACAGATGTGAACGCCTCCACACTGAAAGTGAAGAAAAGCCATGGTCCAAAATTTCCACAAGATTAAGCCTCAGTATGTACTTTTAGAGTAAACACTACTAATTTAGTATCCAACGTTCACAACTACATTCTGAAAAAGCTGTCGGTGAACTTTTGCGGTACTTATCCCTCATATGGTTACGGTCACCATCCTATGTGAGAAAGCGAAAAGCTTTAGACAAGTACTCTACCCACCTTTATTTTTAAACCATAAAATGCTTAGTTGTGAACTGCAGACTCAGGATGGATTACCTACTTGTGCTTGGCTTCTCGATATCAAGAAAACTCTCAACCTTTCCGGAGTTCCCACACTAGGGAACTGGAATGGTGGGAACGTTGTTTGCTGACATAAATCGAAAGTAGAAGGATGTTGTGTCAGATCGATACGACCTCTCGTATTTCTTGATTTCCTGTTGTTTCCATTCTCTTCTGAATTGATTTTCGAGGCCCTCTTTCAATCTCTTCGCATTTTTCAATGATCCCATTGCCTCTACTCAAGCATGCTTCCATCAATGAAGTGGTGAATCGCGCTTATTCGTAGAATCATCCTACACTAAGTAATTTGCTAAGTAAGTGTGTTTATATGTGTGTATACGTGAGGAATACAAAATGACAATCTCTTGTTTATCCAAATTTCAAGGTTCTTGTAACGAACACAAGGATGATACTGTTTGATTAGAAAAGATGGAACCTGTTATGAAGCGATAGAAAACCGGTGTCTACTAACGATAAGTTGTTGCGGACTTTAAGCTGTGCATAGAAACATTCGTACGAACAGTGTAATGAAAGGTTCGATAGGTGTCACAAAGTGTGGTTAACTGGCTCGCAATGGGCCATATAGCCATATTCGACGAAATCTGGGACAATCGGAAAGAAGTTGAATGTCCCAAATTCATAAGGGTCTGAAGAGTGTGNTTAAGCCTAGGAGAATTCCAGAAAACACCGTAAACGCGGACTTAGAAGAATTCTCTGAGTGATTTGACAGAGACCTAGCAGATCGCTTGGGTTTTCAAAGCAAACAAAAGGCGTGGTCGAACTTCGGTAGGAGCTGTGCTCACGTCGGACTATGGAAGAAATGTGTGTTGAGAGTGTCGATGTAACTAAACCCCTCAATATCTTAATGTTCCCAAATTAACTCGAACGTGTTGCTAACACACCGCTCTCATGCATGCTACCAGTTTTGAAGAAATTATATCAAGAAATCAGTTTTTATTTACGTATTTCTGCACTCTCCTCTTCTTTTCCTTCGTGTCCGACATTCTTCTAAAGTGCATTTTATTACTTCGTCCCTGACCCTATTCATGGTCATCCTTCCTTTTTTTCTTTTGATTTGTATTCTTCACGCGTGTATAATTACGTGCTCATTCGAAAAGAACCATATTTCTAGTAAGCTGTGCTTCAAGAATGCTCATCAAGGTGAAGACTCTCACAGGCAAAGAAATTGAATTAGATATCGAACCTAATGACAAGGTTGAGCGAATCAAGGAAAAGGTTTGTCCACTCTTTCTTTCATTGCGTATCCAGAAATAAAAGATTTTTTGATTATGGCGGTATAAAATTAAGATGTGTTTGTTATAAAATACCGAGATATTTTTTAACTGTTAGAGTTAACTCAGGTTCGGTTTAGGTAGAAGAAAAGGAAGGGATCCCACCTCCACAACAACGACTAATCTTTGCGGGCAAACAAATGAATGATGATAAAACAGCTACAGACTACAAGGTTAGTTGTTATGCAAAAGTTCTAGTCCGCATTGAANAGGGAATCATTTGCATATTTAATCGATTGATTGGATGATGGACAATGTTATTTCTGCGTATTGATCAACTCCTCTACTCTCTTTCAAACATACTTTGTCCCTTAACGATCGTATAGTTGTTGGCGCACCAGATCAATAAAGTCTAGAGGCAGTTTTTGCATCTTCGGTAGCTTTTGGGATGCTCGTTAGTTATATGGTCTCTTAAAAACCTGCAGACGCTTTGGTCCTGAAACTCTTTACCGATAGTTATTGAGTCATCGTTTGCACTCTTAGCTATTAGTGTTATTTGGTGCACTTGATGCACTTTGTAACTACTTTCTTTGTGTGATTCATAAAGGAAGTGACTTTCATTTCCACAAAGCCCCTAGCAACAACCGCTGCGTCATCACTAATTTATTTTTACAATCGGAGTTTTCCATAAGGGGTTCATCATGATGAAAGGTTTCTTTTAGCTTATATTCACGACAAATAGTCGATGGAGAAAGGGATTCTCTTTAAACCACCGGTTAGTCAGCCCATGTTGACCATGGCGAGTTTTCCATAAGGGGTTCATCATGATGAAAGGTTTCTTTTAGCTTATATTCACGACAAATAGTCGATGGAGAAAGGGATTCTCTTTAAACCACCGGTTAGTCAGCCCATGTTGACCATGGCTCCTAGAATACAAGTACGCGCCGGTTGCTTAATATCATACAGTCGTATTTGGGCGATCCTGTCTCCGAGTTTATTCAATCACATAGCTCTTATGCTGAAAATGAGTCTAACATGAGTGCGTTTTGGAGTTCTGTGGTGACTTTTCATCTTGTCTTGGAACATCTATAGCAGCTCATACAAAAAGAGGGTATGAGTAGAGTAATTTCATAATTTCATAATTCCTTAGAGAAGGCACGTTAGATTTTTGCATGTTTCTTGTTCTGTGCATGTGGCAGGATTCTGATATTTAGAGAAAAGAAAATAAAGCAGTTGATGTAAGTTATTAAGCACTTATTTCCAGGTTGCTGGAGGTTCTGTCTTGCATCTGGTGCTTGCACTTCGTGGAGGATGGTAATGATAAGTAACGCGTATGCATCCGGTTGTTTAATTAATCTTCATTTTTTTCTAGTGAGAAAATATTACCATGATTCCCTTTTAATTAATACTGGTGTATAGCTATGTTCTGCTTACCTTCGTCTTATTTTGATTTGTCAAATGAATGTCGTTGTGAAAGTAAAGTTTCAGAAGGTTTTTTTGCTTGTGCTTTCGAATAAAAACATTAAAGTGCTACAGTCTCATGTAATGTTTATGCCGTAGTCGGTTAGGAGTTCGTCGAGTATGAATGGGTAAAAGTGGGAATGGAAAATTCGAAAGCGAGGGGATAGTGAGGACCACTTCCGTGTGGTGCCAAACACTAGGTTGTGCAACATCCTAATGGTTGTAGGCGACTCGACAACTCGTGCCAAAGGAGTTCTTTACGCTAAGCTTGAAGAAAGCTTGTGAATCTCAGAAATAATAAGGCCCTCCAGTTATGGTACCTTTCTTGAATTTTCCCAGGTTTCTACCAAACACTACCACCCACTTATTGGACTTGTTTACACTGTGAAATATAGCTGTTACCAGTGGTCTGATAGTGATATGCTTCAGCTGAAGGTGAGTCTGACCCATTTTATCGCAGAAGCTTCACCGTCCCGATGTCTTCTGAGAGCGAGATCGACCTAGGGAAACCCAAAGCTGGTAGTTTTCTTGATTCTATATCTTGTTCGAAAAACGAACGTCATAAGGCATTCACCGTGGTGCAGTACTGTCAATGGAAATCAGTATTGCGATTTTGTCAGTTCCCGATTCAGGATTGTACTGTTCTGTAGTCACTTCACCCATACAACTGCCAGGCGACTTTCCTTATACAGCTTCAAATAAGACAAATCCCTCATTTTCCTATCCTCCCCTTTGCTCGATCGATGACCGTAGGTTGCAACTCTAAGAGTGGGACTCTCGTTACGACCGCTTGGTGCTCTTATACCATGAAAACCCATGTGTTTCACGAAGTTATTTGGTTCGATAATGTGGTTAGGACTGACTGCAAGTAACTAGTAACCACCTCTGATCCGCTTTGGAAAATCACGAGGGCAGCGTGGTGAGATAGTGCAACTGCTTTACTCCGTGCTACTGGAAAAAGTGAACTGGACGGTTGATAATGGTTGATAAGCCGTCTGAGATGCGGCGCCTCATTGATAGCAGCCGTTCCTTTCCATTATCCTCGATCGCAGAAAAGAAGTGGTTCATCATGCGTTTATAGTCTAGGTGGTGGCCGCTTTCAGAATTCGACAATTCTATCTGCGTGTGCGCAGAAACGCAGGTAGAATCATGCGAACGAGCAAGCGAGCGGCCATACGACGCGGCTCTAGAGAGGTGTTGACATCAGTGGACGCCGATGGATCACATGCCATTGCTGTCAATAGGGGGCTAGCGCCGCAGTAGCATCGCGCTCACTTGCGCTCGCACGATTCCACCTGCGTTTCTACTTACGTGCCGGCACGCAGGTAGAATCGTTGAAGTTTGAAGGCAGCCAGTCGTAGCCTCGAACGACGTGCTACTCTATGAGACAACCATCCAATCCAACAGGTTAAATAACGCCTGCGTCGACAACATCTAGCTAGTATGGCATCAGGGGGGACGGTACGAACGTGCGTCCGAGGGTGCGCGCGGCAAATTGCGCGGCGAAGTTCGTGACGATTTGTACGACTGCGGCGCCGATTTTCGGGACACAAACTCGAAGTAGTGTAGTTTAGTAGGGTCAGATGATCCTCCTAATCCACTCTATTTCAAATTTGAGCCCCAATGATAGGCGCCAAAGTAGTTCAAATCATTACGAACTTCGCCGCGCATTTTGCCTCGCGCATCCTCGGACGCACGTTCGTACACATACCCTGGCATCAGAGGGCATTGTCAGCGCATCGGACGTAAATGCAGATGTTAAAACTACTACTTAAACTCAGCCGCAATGACCCCGAAATGCTTGTACTCCTAATAGAGGGTAATACGTGAAGCTGCCTTCTGGTAGTAAAGTAGTAATATAGGATAAGCTGGATCGTAAGCCTAAGGTCGCCAATGCACTAGCACTGAACAGGCTTTACTACCCTTATAGGTTATAGGATAGTAAAGCCTGTTCATGTATATGGTCAGACGGATGCTCACATGTAGCTTGCTAGGTTCTGGCATAAAGCTGGGTATACTTTGTGTGGTTAACCGGCCAACTCCACATTGACAGCGCGGCTTCGTTACAATGCCGGATGCCCCCTTTGCACTAAGGAGTAACTCCAATGCCAGTTTTTGGCTGAGCCAATAATTGTAGCCACAAAGGGATCCTGCTAGAATGGACACTATTACGAGGAGACAGAAAGTATACGTCGAGTCAGCCCAACAGAAATTGGGAGTGCACCTTCTGAATTCAAATGCGCTTCAGTGCTAGTGCATTTGCGACCTTAGGCTTACGAACCACCTTATCCGTCACCTGTGAAATCTCGGCAAGAGATCTTCTCCGGGGGAGGGGCTCGAAGTTTATAGTGAAAGTAATTTGCGCGATTTCCGGTTGTTACCATTATGATTTCAGGGAAACGTACCCGTCACAAACGGAGGCGTGGAGCAGCAGGTAATATTCTGCAGCTGTCGCTCTTAAAACTTGTCTTGCAACCAATTCGCGTTTTCAGAATTCGCTCCGATAACCAAAAAACCAATTAAAGGTTCCAGTGAGTACAATATTGCGTTTTGATAATTCACTCATTTCCAAACAGTCTTATGTCAAAAAGTTATATTCAACTATTTTCTGTACATATCTCGGTGTAAAATTGATTTGCATTTGTCTGTTTAGTACGGGGGTTCCTGCTATATTCAAAGGCACAGTTCACTATAATTTCAGAAAACCCTCTCAGGCCGAGAAGCGGAAGTGTTGGTGGTGAATAGTGCATTGGTGGCCAGAAAAGCAAAAAAAAAATCTGTAGAGTTTGCGAATCAGAAGGACTCTAACCTACTTGAAAGGAGGGTATAGACGAGATCTCAGTCGCTGCAGTTGCGTAGAGAGGTAATCCGAAAATGCCCAGATTTGCCTCGTGCAATACGTCGCTTTGAGTCAAGACTACTATGAATTTCCAACATATGTATGTGCTCCACCGTAAATGGCGCAGATTACACAACGTCATGGAAACTCGCCCGCTATTGGGTGTGGACGTCGACGCAGCCGGTCTTTTAGCACTTCCTTATCCTTATCTAGACTGTTTTTCGAGATGTCCCATATATTATCGTGAACTGTGCCTTCAACGAAACTGAAGGGTGGTAGCTTGTCTAAACGCTATAAACTGACTTATATCCACAAATGATTATATCTTGAGCAGTGAACCCTTCCCATTAGTTGTGGTGTCCTAACTGTGCACTCTCGGAGGCGGAGGGCTAATCGCTCTTTGAGCGAATGTGTTAAATTCTATAGACTTGAACTTGATTGACGATATCTTTATTACTTTACTTCATTTAGCTGTCACTCCGAAACTAGAACAAGTAACTTCGAACGATATGAAGGTTCAGGAACAGGTTACTCCAAAGGTTCAGGAACAGGTTACTCCAAAGATTCTGGAAGAGAAATCTCCCGACATCCTCCTTAGGGAACCTGCGGGTCCGCTCGGTAAGTTTCACGCGCAAAAGGGATTAAGTGATGTCGATCAAACTTTTTGGAGTAAAAAATCTTTTCTTTTGATAAAGCCGTTTTGATGTGTATCTCGCTCTAACACTGAATTGATGGGTCCCCATTGTTAGGTAAGGTCTGTTTCTTCAGGAGAGGTACTGGGGAAGTTCTAGAATTTCGGCTGTTCATGTCGAGGAAATTCCAGACAGGTTTGGGGTTGTCCTGAGATATCAGTAGTAAACTAACGACAACATTTCAATCGATCAAACCTAATATTACTAGTCAGTAATAAGTTGAAAAATTCTATGTGAAAATGTAGTCGGTGCGCGATCACCCCCACTATCCTACAACGAGTGCTAGAACGCAGTGGAGAGGTATCCGATGGCTACG